CTCTAGATGATACTCCTCTCCTGCCTCTCTAGATGATACTCCTCTCCTGCCTCTCTAGATGATACTCCTCTCCTGCCCCTCTAGATGATACGCCTCTCCTGCCTCTCTAGATGATACTCCTCTCCTGCCCCTCTAGATGATACTCCTAATTACAATAGATGATGCACTCGCCTCCTCTGCCAAATATCCAGCTTGCTTCTGTAGTCGTTCTTTGCCTTGCCGTAAACTTTTGCCACATGCCACCTGTGGCTGTTGCCACATGCCACCAATGGCTGTTACCACATGCCACTTATGGCTGTTGCCACATGACACCTATGGCCGTTGCCACATGCCACCTATGACTGTTGCCACATGCCACCTATGGTTGTTGCCACATGCCACCTATGGCTGTTGCCACATGCCACCTATGGCTGTTGCCAGCTGTTTTCAACTGTTTTTGCCTAGTGTTGGCAGGTGTTGACAGGCGTTGTGTTCACCAGGAGATCAGCGGGGACCCGCAGTTGTTCGTGGACGGCGCGTCGCGGTTTGACGTCAAGCAGGGCGAGCTGGGTGAGCTGGTTATGTTTTATAATAATAATATATTATGTAAGTATAATATATTAAAATAATAATTTTAATTAACATTATTGTCAACATTATAATAATAATAATAACAATATATTATATTAGCGTAGTATATTAGTATAGTAATTAAAATGATTTTAATTATCAATGTTATAATGATAGTGCTATATTATATTACTGGAATATATCAATATAGTAATAATAATGATGTTAATTATTGTTATTATGAACATTATAATAATATTTATATATTTTAACCTATATATTAGATTATTCAAGATTAGGGAACCTGCGGGCTGATGTTTTAATGATTCAGCAAAGTTTGCTGAATGATACAGTACATTTATTGTAAAAATAATGTAGACCATCAAATTTTTTTGGCCTATTTTTCTTTCGTTCTGCAAATCATTTCTTTAATAGTACAAAATTCGAAATTTGTTTAAAGTCTGAAAATGGAATGAAATATAAATTTTAAAATTGAAATAATTTCAATTCTAAATGATTATTTAGCCCTGACATAGGCCAGGACTTTTATATTAATTGTATATCATAGTTATGGATACTATTGTAATTTACGGAATTTTAATTATCATGATATATTATCATAATATATATATTAATTATGTTTAATTATCATTCATTATATAAGTTGACATATATAAACGAATTCTTCCGATTCATAATATATTATATGACCTATATAAGTGAATGGACAGAATGATCCCATTCATAATAAAATTCATTCAATTATTCACATCTTATTTATTTTGTCAATTAGGTAATGAATTTAATTAAGATTGTCCCCTTAATTCAATTAAGATTGTCCCCTTGATGTTAACTGGCAAATTAAAATCCTAATTTGAATATGTTTATTCACAATTAACATTATATTATCCTAATTATTATGTCCAATTTATTTTGGCCTATAACAATGGATATTTTGAAATTAAAACAATTATTTGACTATTATAATTGGCATTTTCTTGTAAATATAATCACTTCATTTTCAAGCATTTTGTATTCATAGTCGTGATTTCCGATAATAACAATAAATAGGTAACAAAAATTATTATTAATCAATAATAATGATATTAATCGATAATATCAATAGCTACAATTTTTCAATACGAGATATTCGATATTATCATAATATGAGAAATTTTATACCATTATCAATTCGAATAAATGTAGGATATTATCCTGTTTATAATAAGCAATATATAGTATTTAAGAATAATTTATATTATCAATTAGAATATATATAGGATAATATCCTGTATATAATTAACAATATATAGTATATACGAATAATAATTGATATTATCTATGAGAATATATTAATTATATTATCCTGTATATAAATGAACAATATAAAGTATATAATTAAAAAATTAACTACACAATTAACCGCTTATCCTGCATATAATAAACAATGTAAAGTATATACGAATAATAACGGTAATTAACCACTTATCCTTTATATAATAAACAATGTAAAGTATATACGAATAATAACGGTAATTAACCACTTATCCTTTATATAATGAACGATGTAAAGTCTGTCTCTTATACACATCTAGATGTGTATAAGAGACAGATGATACTCCTCTCCTGCCTCTCTAGATGATACNTCTCAAGATGTGTATAAGAGACAGGTAGTGGACCTGTTGTGTCTGTAAGGGGGGACAACTACGCTGGGGCCTTCCACTTCAGGTGAACTGTTGCGCCTGCTGGGGCACCTGCTAGGGCACCTGATGCACCTGCTAAGGGAGGGATTTGTTGAATATGTAGGATGGGAAATGAGCTGCAGCATCTGCTCCGGCAGCGGATGCACCTACTGGGTCACCTGCTGGGGACCTGTTGTGTCTGTACAAGGGGACAACTACACTTGGGCTTTCCCTTCAGGTTGGGGACCTGGTGCATCTGTTAAGGGGGGGGGGGCATGTTGCATCTGTTAGGACGAAATGGATACCTCTCAAATAAAAATTATTGGTGGAGCATCGATGAATATTGTTGACTACAGGTGAAAATTTTAGGTAGAGCACCGATTGCGCATCGATGCGTCATCTATGGCGTTTCCGGCCTATGTTCCACCTATGACGTGCCTTCGGCCATGGACACCCTACCCGTAAAAGCTCTTCTTCCATCAATAACTGCCCATTGGCACCGGTTGCGCATCGATGAGGCACCGATGGCCACATTTAAAATGAAGTCGATAACAAATTTTCCTCTAGCTTCATATCCGATGCTTTTGCATTCACTGATATTGCTCCAGTCGATCGTATTCTGAGGACTACGTATGCAAATCCATCCTGTCTGTACAAGTATCAATGTCAGACATATTGCAGAAACAAATTATCAAAGTACTATAGACGTACCTCGTGAGAAATCGAGTTGGAGAAAGTCCCTGCCTGCAGGATTCGAACTCTGGTCTCTCACGCGAAGCCAAGCCTCTACCGTTGTGCTATCAGAAAGGACATGGCTGTCGAGTAATTTTAAAATATTCAATTGAAGAATTGCAATTATTAATATCATACAATGAGAGAAGGTAATTCTAACTACCACTAGCTGTGATGACTAGATGGTTCCATTAGCCATTTTATATGAACATGCTGCAACATTCGAGAAAACAGCCGCTGAAAGATACTTCGTTTGTCCATAACGAACAATTGTTCAGCTCAGAGCAAAGGCTACCGGAAAATGCTTGATAAATAGGGAAGTTTCATAATGTGAACATTACACCTATTTTAACAGCGGTTCGATTCGAAATATTTTTCCACTAATATTATTGCGTGTTTTAACGAATCATCACTCGATGATTTCGAAATGTAAGGCGGGAAATGCCTCCATCACTTCGTGTCATTATTTTTCTCTAGCCTAATATAATGACTGCCAGCTATGCTCCCCCCACTCGATTTATTGGTGTTTTATTGTCGATTTTTGGCAGATCTGTTCACAAACCGTTACGACGCCTGTAATCTACCATTGCCAAATATAATCATCGATGCCCCACCCTTAATTTTTATTTGGGCTGCTGTAGGGAAAGGGTGAGGCTGCTAGACGTAGATGAAGAGAGTTGCCTTCAAAACCATTCCCTCCATTTCCGTGCCCTCCCTCATGGTAATGGGCTGGGGCATTGTAATGGGTAAGGTTATTACCCAGGGTTATGTTTCTAACGTGCCCGCACGTCGCAGGTTCTGGCAGTACGGGCGCTGGGTGGACGTCGTGATAGACGACCGTCTGCCGACGTACTACGGCAAGCTCGTCTTCATGCACTCCGATGAGCGCAACGAATATTGGTCCGCCCTGCTGGAGAAGGCCTATGCTAAGTACGATAGCACTCGTATAGGCCATTGTAAATTATTAGCATATTGGAAATACTCAGTGGTGGGTACAGTTTGCTAATCCGCTAACCGTTAATTAGTGAAGATGACGTTTTCCTTAGCCGGTATGCCACACTGATGTCTGACTACGTCAACATATGTACGTTAACCAATCACGTTTTGTGTAACAAAAGATGTGATAGTTTACACAAGACGTGATTGGTTGACGTACATATGTTGTAGTCAGCAATGATTGTGGCACACCGGCTAAAATAAACGTCAGCCTCGCTAATAAGCGGTTAGCGGATAAGCGGATTGTGCCCACCACTGGAAATACTGATTATTTTAAATAGCGTTCAGAACTAAGTCTCTCACGTTATGACCCCGGCCTGTTACCCCCCGTTACTCGTTAACTCCCTTGTCCCATTGCCCCCCCTGTCCCGTTACCTCCCCTGCTCCGTTACTTCCCCTGTCCCGTTACTTCCCCTGTCCCGTTACCTCCCCTGCCCCGTTACCTCCCCTGTCCCGTTACTTCCCCTGTCCCGTTACCTCCTCTGTCCCGTTACTTCCCATGTCCCGTTACCTCCCCTGTCCCGTTACTTCCCCTGTCCCGTTACCTCCTCTGTCCCGTTACCTCCCCTGTCCCGTTACTTCCCCTGTCCCGTTGCCTCCGCTGTCCCGTTACCCCTCCCGTTCTTCCCCACCCCCCTTGACCCGTGGTCCCCGTGACAGGCTGCATGGGTCGTACGAGGCCCTGAAGGGAGGCACCACATGTGAGGCCATGGAGGACTTCACTGGGGGCGTGAGCGAGCTGTACGACCTCACGGCCGCCCCTCCCACCCTCTTCCAGATCATGCTTAAGTCCTACGAGCGCGGCTCTCTTATGGGGTGCTCTCTAGAGGTGAGACTTAGGGGGAGTGTTGGTAAGAGTGGGGGACTCGGTGGGACTGGGTGGATGTGGGACTGGGTGGATGTGGGACTGGGTGGATGTGGGACTGGGTGGATGTGGGACTAGAAGATTAGAGAACTCTACGACCTCACCGCGAATCCCTCGAGGTTAGAATGTTTGAGCACCAAGAGAGTGGGAGAGAGGTTGGGGACTTGGGAGACCTGGTGGACTTAGGGACACGGATGCTGGAGTGAGAAGCAGGACTTGAGTCAGAGTTATAAATGGGTTTTAGGACTGGAAATGAAGTTGGTGGTGAAAGTTGAACTTGGGATTAGAGTGTGAAGTATGATGTAGATACTTGGGGTGAACTCCTTAATTAAGGAGGGACTTTGAGACTGGGACTTAAAGGCTGCCCCGTGGTGTGCGACTTAAGAGAGCTGAAAAACTTGGAGTCTGATGTCTTACAATTTTTTTAATTTTGGATTTAAAAAACCTGAAACACAAATTATTTACGTATTGATTAATTATTATTAATACTTATTTAATTATTATTTTTTATGAATTAATATTATTATTCAATTAATTATTAATAATAATTGATGATTATTATTATTATTGATAAATTGATTATTAATGATATTTGATTGATCTATTCACCACTGTTACCTAATTAACTCCCCAATCGGCCCGTGCAGCCGGACCCTAACGAGGTGGAGGCCCGTTGCGCCAACGGGCTGGTACGTGGCCACGCCTACAGCATCACCTGCGTCAAGTACTGCGAGATTCAGACGCCCAGGTACGTTAAATGTCGAGGTACGTTTATTATGAAGGTACGTCCAATGTGGGGATGTTCCATCAATAGGTACGGACGTTAATTATAAAAGAAGTCTACTGAGAGGTACGTGCATTAAAATAAAAGGTGTGTCCATTAAAATGTATGTCCAATATGAGATATGTTCATTATAAAGTACGTATATTGAAAGTATCGTCCGTCACAAAGTACGGTAATTTGCACGTTCGTCATATGAATTGGCAGGCACGTGGAACATCAAGGTATTATGTTCATTGTTTCTAGTTTTCTGACGTCAAGAGCGACTCGATGTCTGTCTCCGCGAACGGCCTGTTGCTGTAGGTCAACATTACCAACCGAATCAAAATCTAGCGTTGCCCCAGCTTCTGATCATCCTTAATCAGAAGCTGATTACCCTAATCAGCTCCTGATAATCCTAATCTGCTTTTGATTACCCTAATGGGAAGCTGCCACGACTCTGAATTTTGTTTGGCAATGGCTTCAAACGTAGCGACATTGAAAACCGTATTTTTAAATTCTTAGCGTGATTTTTTTTCTATTTTTCTGTCATTTTGATATAAAAAATTTTTCAGATGTCAGATAATCTATAGAATTTATTGTAAGATTTTTTAAACTAATAGAATAACCTTCAAGAAGCTTTCGCAGACCTTTTTTTGTAGTACTAGTAATTTTTCGTTTTAGTTTCGCTTTCTTAGTAATGTTGTGCTTTTTCCAATTCCATTTTTATTAGAAGCAGGATTTTCCGATTTTCGTGGTAAATTTCGTTTATTGACGCGTTTTTGTGAACTTTATTACGCTCTTAGTTTTTTCTCCTTATGAAATAATTTTTTAACAGTTTTTAATTTAGTGATATGGAAGGTAATTTTTGTGTGAATGCAAAAGTTTATTATGCAAATTTTCTAAAATGTAGATCTTTTTGCTAATTTTTCTTAGCGATTTTCCATGCTGTTAGCCTAGAACAATTTTAAGTGAAAATAATACCTAACTGTCAGCGCTTTTATCGTTTTGCAATGCGGACATTTTCATTTCATTTCCTATCTAAAAAAATGCTTATAAGTGCATTTATCGCCTGTGGATAGCGGCAGCGAGCTGCGGTATTTCGGCCGACACAAGCAGAGGCTCGTGTCCATTTGGCAGCAGGTCGACAGGTAACCTCCTTATATACCCGCAGTCTTGCCAACTCCGTGAAGAAATAATGCATTTTTCAAGAAAATTACATGTACACAATTTTCTTTGGATAATAACCACAGAAAATATATGGAAAATTACAGAAACTCTTTAAAATTTCTCCTCACTAAGTGAAAAATCTTAATGTGAACATCTAACAAATTAAAATTCTTCAGAAATCGAACATATCAACGGTGTACTTTGTAGATTTTCGAATAAATTCACCTAATTCACCGAATTATTTGTTTTGCTTCATTTATTTGGCAATTCTGTTGGGGCCTGAGTGAATGATGAACCGTTTGTGATTCTTCAACCGTTTTAGAGCTTTTCGATCCCGTTGACCATTTTTTCGATCCCGTGAATCGTTTTAGATCCCACAGACCACTTTGAACCCGTGAACCATTTTCAATCTCGTGAACCATTTTCGAGCCCGTGACCGTGTTCGATCCCGTGGACCGTTTTTGATCCCGTGGACCACTTTGAACCCGTGAACCGATTCCGATCCCATGAACCGTTTTCGATCCCGTAAACCATTTTCAATCCCGTCAACTGTTTTCGATCCCGAGAACCGTTTGTTTTCAAGCAAATTATCAGAGCCCGAATGTAGACGAAACGCAATTGCGTGAACCAAATTGTCGCCGCGAACTTAAAGTTGTTCCTCTTCCCCCACTTTCCCCTCCCCCACACACGACCAGCCTGGGCAGATCTGGGGCCATACTTTCAAAACTCGCTAAGTGAACGCAAGTACTTACGCTCTATTTTCTTGTCTATGATTGATGGATTTTGCTTAAAAGGCCGTCAACGATTGGCTGATGAACTTACGATCTCTTAACTTTTTTTGAAAGTATAGGCCCTGGTTCACCCCCACGATAGGTCTGCATCATTCCCCCCTCAAGGTTCGACTAATCCCCCCTTTTCCATCCCTTTTTTAGCGCATTTTCTCATTTGTGGAAAAAATGCACTATTGTGCTCGCCATGTCCGTATGTCCGTCCGTCTGTCTGTCCATCCGTGACTTCACGTTTTCGTCGACGAGAAAATGCGCTCTCTATCACTCACTGCAGTGAGTACTGAGTTATATTTTTTACCCTTCTTATCCTCCTACTTTCTATTTTTATCCATCTTTTCCTCCTACTTCCCAACCTTCATCCTCTCTATATACTCTTGTACATTTCATTCCTTCTTTATCACCTAATTCTAAAGTTTTATCCCTTTTTAGCCTCAAATTGCCTCGCCTCTAATCCCCATTTATCCCCTAGCAAGATCCCCCTGGTGTGCATCCTACCTTTAATCCCCCTCCCCTCAGGCTGTCAGGGAAGTTTCCCTTGATCCATATTCCCCCTTACCCCACCCGAGGTGTTGGGAAAGATCCCCTAATTAGTATATATTGAGAGAACATGAATGCCTGTAGCGACCATCCTGGGGCTGTGGTAACCATCCTTACCACAACTCCCTCTGTAAGGGAAGATCATCATTCAATTGTTGGCAGAAACGGCCACTCCATCACTACAATAGCAGCAATTATCTCTGGTCACCATAAATCGCCACCGCTCGTCTGCTAATTTCATTGATTGCAATACGTACCCTCCAAGGTGTTTGAGAAGGTCCTCCAGATCCACATATCCAACTCCTCACATGTTTCCACTTCATAATCCCCCTAATTCCCCCTCATCTGCAGGGTGTCGGGGAAGATTCCCCTGATCCGCATCCGCAACCCATGGGGCAACGAGGCTGAGTGGAACGGCCCATGGAGTGACCAGAGCGAGGAGTGGCAGTTCATCCCCGAGGAGGAGAAGCAGGAGATGGGGCTCACCTTCGAGCACGATGGGGAGTTCTGGATGGCGTATAAGGTTTGGAAGGAAAAGACATATAAGTGGTATAAATAATAGAGAGAATAGGTAGTATGTTCAAAAGTATAGAAGCAAAGAAAATAGCCAGAAAATTCACCATTTCTTTAAAAGGAAAACGTTTCTAAGACCAGCTTCATCATCAGTTCAAAACCTAAAACACAGGTTAACCCAAACAATTTACAAAAAATTCACATTAAAGCATAAATCGTCAAATGAGAAACAAACAAGAATGAAGCAAATACGGGTAGACAAGCCTATCTATTTGCAATTTCTAGGGGATATGAACCGTTGGCGACATTTACAGTAAATAGGCTTTTGTTTAAAAATATAAAGGAACTCCAAAATTCGCAGGTCGGAAACACTGGTTGTAAAGGCCAAAATTCGGAAATCACTTTGCACTGCTCGGCATGGACGCGTACTGCTGAATGAGGGAGATGCGCAAGCAGGTTTCCTGTTCTAAAACTCCTTCCTTTATACTCCGTCAGCCTAGTATAAATGTTGCGTTGAGGTCATACGGACATACGCAGATGCGCATAACGCACAACTAAATTGATAAACTAGGGACGATCGCATAGGAACAGGGAGTGTATCTTGATACACGAAAAAAGAACGAATTTTAAAATTATTCACCAGCAATACATGAAGATTTACATTTGGGAGGTATTTAGAGAACAAACCTTTCAACTCTTTAGCCATAGACTCAGAAGCGGGACCAAAGTAAGGAAATGAACAATAAACAGCATTCCTATGGTCACGTTCGGGAACAACCTCAGAATATTACTTACGTAGACAAAATTTTTTAATTTGAGTATATACCAATTGTGACGGAATCCCATTAAGTGAAAACGTACTGCGTAAAAATTCATATTCAGAGTGCATAGTATAGAAAGCTAAGCAAATACGAAAGCATCGGTTTATTAACGTTTGAATATAATTTATTTCGAACGAAATAATAATAATTAATAATAGCGGTTTCAGCGTTTATTAGGCCGTAGGCCTGTCGCCGATTCTTAACATTGCAGAATATTCACAGCATTTTGCGGTCTCAAACTCGCAACTCACTGCTACAAACCGCTTTGCTTAACCGCCCGGCCTCCTCGCCGATTCTGACAAGAAACTGGCGCACAGAGCTGGGATCGAACCCGCGCCTCTCTGCGCCAAACTTGGTACGCTGAACTGTAACCACTGGGCCACCCTGCCTGTAACCACAAAGCTAAAGAAGCTGGACAGAGGTCTGAAAACGGCCATTTGATTTTGTGACATTGCAATAAAGAAAATATAAACTAATGTTTGATTATAGCTCCATGGTAACATTGATGAATTCATGCTGGAGATTAAGATAATCAAAGAAAAGGCCTACATGAGAAGGATGCTTGAAAATTAAAGAAAGTGTCAGCGGCATACCGGTTATAGAATAATGGCTTAAAATCAAGAGGACAAATGGCCAGCCGTGTAGCCTCGTGGAAACATATAGAAATGTTTGCAAAAGTTGGGCCCATAGGAAGACCCATGCCCAAACCATCAATTTGTCAACAAAATTTGCCATCATATACAAAAATTGAGTTTAAAAAGAGAATTCCAGAAGAAATTTAAAACAGTTGCGGTTCAAACCGATGACACAGTCATTCACACTTTTAAACAAAGAACTTAGGCAGATATCGATAGTTTCATGAAGGGGTATATTGGTAAACAAATTTTCTACATCAAATGAAGCCATAGTCAAGTCCTGAACATTAGTGAAATTTTTTTGGCGATCCACGAACATGTAAGTGTTGTCTACCGTATACTGATTGGTGGTGAGACAGTTCAACCGGAACTAAAAATTTAGCAAGTTTGAAGCTCGGAGTGTTGTAATCAACGAAGTTTAGGCGGAATTGAATTTCAAAGCGAAATCTGGTTTATGAAATTTTGTAAGCCAGTTGAGCCAGTCTGGTTTTGTAAATTTTGTTTTTGAGGGGGATTTTTGTTATGAAATCCCCCTCATTCAGCAGTACGCGCCCATGCCGAGCAGTGCAACGTGCCAGTGTCCGATAGTGATTTTCGAATTTTAGCCTCTACGACCTGCAATTCTGATCTGCGAATTTTAGAGTCCCTTTATATTTAAAAAAAAGTCTAGTTTAAATGCCGCCAACAGTTCATATCCATTCGAAATTGTAAATGGACAGGCTTGTCTACCCGTATTCGCTTCATTATTGTTTGTTTCTCATATGACGATTTACGCTTCAATGTGAATTTATTGCTAATTATTTGTACCTGTGTTTTAGGTTTTGAACTGATGATGGAGCTGGACTCCGAAACGTTTTCCTTTTTAAGAAATGGTGAATTTTCTGGCTATTTTCTTTGCTTTTATATTTTTGGTAACTTGCGATTTAAGTAGTCAAGTGATTTTAATACTTAGGTAGTTTGTTATACCAATGGGTATAATAGCAGGTATATTATGGGAAATTTACTTGGAAGTTCTAGCGTTATCAATAGGTAGCTCTTGATGACATATAAGGTATGGAAGGAATAGGTATGTAAGTGGTTTAAATGATAGAGGGAATATTTAATATATTATATCAATGGGTATAACAACAATTCTTATTATAGGAAAATTATTAGTAAATTCAACCGTTACTAATGCGTACAAGGATGGCTTATAAGGTATAGGAAATATAGGACTAGGCATTATATCAATATGTATGATAGCAATTCATATTATAGCGATAGGATACTAGTAAGGTCCGACTTTCACTGAGAAGGTACGGTAGTTCTGGCTGTTCTATAAGGTATTACTTGAATTAGTTTAGTTAGGTCACTAATGAGGATTAACATCCAATTATCTCACAACATTCAGCTTTTTGGTTTTGCCTAAGTTCAAGCAACTGCAAGTTATGCTCAAGAAAATGCTTAGATTATTTTGCACAAATAGTGACACACTTTCTATACTTAGCACTGAAACGCCCTGTTGCCGAACTCACTTCGGTTTGGGTGGCCCATGAAAAGGCCAAATGTGCATCATTATTTGCACCATCTCACTCATTTTTTTGTGCAATTTAACCTATTTTTTTCTCGGTCGTAGAACTTTTATTTAGGCGAAATAGGTCCACAACTCCTTGCCCAGGATCTAGGCGAATTAGTTAATTATTATTTACTATTCATTTATTATTTATTCAACTTCTTCTCCAGGATTTAGGCAAATTAGTTAATTATTACTCATTAATAATTTACTATTTAACTCCTTCCCAGGATTTGGGTGAATTTGATAATTTTTACTTATTAATTTACTATTTAACTTCTTCCCCAGGATTTCATCCGCGAGTTCGGGACGCTGGAGATGACCAACCTGAGCCCAGACTCTCTGTCAGACGAGGGCGTGATGGCGTCCGTGCAGCACCACTGGGAGATGAGCGTCTACGAGGGCGCCTGGATCAGGGGCTCTACTGCGGGGGGCTGTCGCAACTACCTGCGTCAGTAGCTTGTTGTCCTTATGTTATATTGTTATCTTGTTATCCTTATATTAGATCAGGGGCTCTACTGCTGGGGGCTGTCGCAACTACCTGCGTCAGTAGATCTTGTTGTCCTTATGTTATATTGTTATCTTGTTATCCTTATATTAGATCAGGGGCTCTACTGCTGGGGGTTGTCGCAACTACCTGCGTCAGTATAGCTCCTGTTATCCTTCATTCTGTTAATAGTTATGATATTTTAAGTTAAAGTTAAATCAGTTAATTATTATCGCATGATACTCAAGTTAGAGATTCTTTTTAGCGCATTTCCTCATTTATGGAAAAGGGCGCTATTGTGCTCGTCATGTCCGTCTGTCCGTCTGTCCGTCCGTCTGTCAGTGACCACGTTTTCGTCGACGAGAAAATGCGCTCTCTGTCACTCACTGCAGTGAGTACCGAGTTAATTTTTTCTATTGATCGATTTGTGAAAATCCAAGGTGCCCGAACGCCTTGCATCCTCTTAAATGAAGCGAGCGTCTTTGTCTAAAATCGGAAATTTGTTAGTTTCCGTTTTCTTGGCTCATTTTGTAGCTGCTGGAAAGGCGCGTCTAACGCAGTACACCGCATGTATGTATGTGCTCAAGTTTTTGCGTAAAGCAATTTCAAAAATGTATAAAATGAATTTTTTTAACAATATGTCCAAAGATTCCTTTAAGTTAAATCTATATTTATAGATCATTATTCATGTTAATTGCAAAGTCTTTGCACTCATTTCAAAGCTACAAACAAGACGCGTTCAACAAAGCTAGCACTATAGATGTACATGCAATAATTTTTGCGTAAGGCAGTTTGAACTTTTATAAAATGACCATTTTATAACAATAATTAAAAATTTTCATATAAAATGGTATTTATAGATTATTATTCGCCTTACAATTGCAAAGTGCTGGCACTCGTTTGAAACCTAAAAACAGTGCGCGTTCTACAATGTTAGCACTATAGATGTACATGCAATAATTTTTGCTTTAGGTCGTTTTGAACTTATATAAAATGAACTTTTTATATATACATGTATATAAAAAGTCACAATTTTACCTTATTATTCACGTTAAACTGGGGGGCAGAAATAAATCTACTGGGAGCCTTTTTTCTAGCAACCAATGCAACCAACTCTCAATAAAGTAGGTTCCCTCAGGTTGCCCTGGATATAACTGTTGAAGACTCGTGCTGGTACCTTAAATGCAAATAATTGGCAATAGGAAAGCTTGGGCTACAATATCACGCAATTTTTTTGGGCATTTCTTATTTATTCAGTATAGTATTTTACTTATTTGTCTCCCCTGAACAAGTAAAATATCCATCTTAAAAATCTCCTCCTGTGATTTCAAGCTACAGCATTGAGAGATGACCATTCGATTCAAATCAAGCTCTAGCGATTCACCAATCAATTTTTTTTGATTTAGTTATAGTTTGGATTATATTTTGAAAATGGAAAGGGGAGAGGGTTAAATCGAGAATTACCCGAAAAACTCCCCTCCTACCCCAACAAATATGAATTTGGAAAAATCAATTAGTGAATCATAGATGTGGTCTTTACGAATCGAAATATATGTCTCTCGATGTTGTAGCACGTTAATTGTTGGAGGATTGTTTTCTACATTACCCCCATTTTTACCATTTTCTCTGAATTTTGCGTTTTCTTTCATTTTTTCAAAAAAATTCACACGAACAAATAAGTCTTAGATTTCTATTTTACACATGTGAATCAAGTTACGAAATGATCCGTCCGTATATGAAAAAGTTTTTTTTACCAAGACGCTTTCCTTAATTATGCTTATCAACCCTTCTAGGACAATCTTCAGAACTCCACCTCCTCCCCTCAGAGTCGTTTTGTCTCAACCACCAGTGCTGCATCAGCCTGTAATCTCATTTATTCCCCCGCAGAGTCATTCTGGCACAACCCCCATCCCTGCGACTCCCTTTAACCCCCTCTTTAACCCCATTTTATCCCCCTTTACCCCCGGCAGAGTCATTCTGGCACAGCGGCACAGCTCCCATCTCGCAACTCCCTTTAACGCCCTCTATAACCCCATTTTATCCCCCTCTCCTCCGCGCAGAGTCTCTCTGGCACAACCCTCATCCCTGCAACTCCATTTAACCCCATTTTACCCCCCCCCCTTTACCCCCCGCAGAATCGTTCTGGCACAACCCGCAGTACCGCATCACCCTCACGGAGGTGGACGACGACGATAACGACAACAAGTGCACCGTCATCGTCGCGCTCATGCAGAAGAACCGCCGCTCCCAGCGCAAGCTCGGCCTCGAGTGCCTCACCATCGGCTTTGCCATATACCATGTGAGCCGGGGTCGTGGGTCGGGCTCGTGAGACGGGGTCGTGAGCCGGGGTCGTTAGCCGGGGTCGTGAGCCGGGGTCGTGAGCCGGGAACGTTAGCCGGGGTCGTGAGCCGGGGTCGTGAGCCGGGGTCGTGAGCCGGGGTCGTTAGCCGGGGTCGTGAGACGGGCTCGCGAGCCGGGCTCGTGAGCCGGGGTCGTGAGCCGGGGCCGTGAGCCGGGCTCGTGAGCCGGGTGGGGTCGTGAGACGGGGTCGTTAGCCGGGGTCGTGAGCCGGGGTCGTTAGCCGGGGTCGTGAGACGGGCTCGCGAGCCGGGCTCGTGAGCCGGGGTCGTGAGCCGGGGTCGTGAGCCGGGGTCGTGAGCCAAGGTCGTGAGCCGGGGCCGTGAGCCGGGCTCGTGAGCCGGGGTCGTGAGCCGGGGCCGTGAGCCGGGCTCGTGAGCCGGGGTCGTGAGCCGGGCGAGCTGGGCTCGTGAGCTCAACATAAACCATTATTACTAGGATAGCTATTATTTATTTAACCATATGATCTGCAGGGAGTTATTGCTCTAAATTATTAATTCTTATTCCGGTCATGAAAAAGCTTACGTTTGAACAACGTTGATATTATTTTGAAATAACGTTTAAATAACGTTGAAATTACGGTAAAATAACGTTTGAATAACGTTAAAGTTATATTGCCGTAAATTTAAAATTACGTTGAAATAACTTTGAAATATCACTGTAACGACGTTTAAATAATAAGTTGTATGATAATTATTATCATCATTATTGACATAATTTTTAATAATATTTATTATTACTATTATTTATATTTTAATTTTTAACAATAATATCTCCCCCCCTCAGCTGCGGGACCCCGACTCGCTGCCCCGCCCCCTCGACCTGAACTTCTTCAAGTACAACGCGTCGGCCGCGCGGTCCCCGTCTTTCATCAACATGCGGGAGGTGGGTCAACATGCGGGAGGTGGGTCAACATCCGGGAGGTGGGTCAACACGCGGGATGTGGGTCAACACGCGGGGCCCTAACAAAATTCAGGGACCGCCTAGGCTTTGGCCGAATAGTCGCTACACTCGGCGAGAAATTATGCTGGATCTGCTCGACCACCAGATCGAAATCAGGTTCTGGTCAGAATCTCCTTTCCGACATTATAGTCGCCTGATAGTATGACAAAGGTCGGCCGTGCCGAGTCATAGCGAGGTAATAAGCTGCCCAGAGGCTGCCCTCTGAACTCTGAGCCGAAACTGACGTAGAGAACTGATTTATGTGCGATCCGAGTACTAGGCGGCTCTAATGCAGGGTCGCGCACGCCTGTAAATTTTGTTAGGAGAGGTGAGAAGCCGTGAGTCGAACTCGTGTATACAGTCCTTACAATGTATAAATAAATTCAACGTATACGAGAAATACAATGATTAAAATCAACAATTCCGCAATTTGATGCTCTTCAACAAATTAAAATCGACAATTGAACAAATTTGCCTAAATGAAGAGCATCACTTGAACATATGCACACAGTGTATAAAATGTATACGATAAAATGTATGCGATACGATATATGCAGTTTATACGATGAATACGATTCAATGTATGTGAAACGATATATACAGTTTATACGATGAATACGACACAATGTATGTGAAACGATATATACAGTTTATACGATGAATACGAGACAATGTATACAATGTATTGAACCCCTCTCCCCCCCCCAGGTGTCCTGCCGCTTCAAGCTGCCCCCCGGCACCTACTGCATCGTGCCCTCCACCTTCGAGCCCCAGGAGGAAGGGGAGTTCCTCCTCAGGGTCTTCTCTGAGAAGGCCAACGTCATGGAGTGAGACCCCAACCCCGACCCTTGAACATTATATCCCCATGCTTGCTCAACCCCGACCCCTGAACATTATATCCCCTTGGTTCCCCAACCCAACCCCTAAACCCCATACTCCCTTGTTACTTTCATAACCTTGCAGATAATTCAATATCAATTAATATTATCATGTGTAGCTTTTATATATCATAAAATATGTTTTTTTTATATCGTATGGAAAAAAACAATATTATGCATTGAAATCATCGAAATTAATTGAGGAAAGAAGTATATTAAAAAATAATTGATACGTACTTATCATGTCCTTAAATAAATACAATATAGAAAGAATTTCAGAATATTCTACACACATATATAAATTAAAATATACATTTTACACATTCTTATACATTTTCATTTTTCAGGGAGAACGACGGTGACGTGGGCTTCGGTCAGGTCGACGAGCGGGTTAGTGATAATCCATAATTATTATATTTATTAACAAATAATGATGTAAAATTATTGCTTATTTAATAATTTATCGCTTCTACAATTATGTTCGTTGCTGCTCTACTTATTTTCCTTATCTCTATTTATTTAAATATAAATATTTACAACATCTACGTATATCTACAATATAAATAAATCTATTTATTGTTCATCCATTTTGAATAATATTCGATATAATAAATCTATTCATTTTTTAAATATAAATACATTAATTAATCTATATTTATCTTCCTTTATTTCACTTATCATACTTCTTCACATTCAGCGTTCATCATGGCCGCTTCTCTGTCGCTGCTCTCTTCTTCTCTCCACAGTTGCCGTTTTTTGGCTTCTTTTTACCGTTAATTATATTACCAACGATCGCTTTCTACCAATTATCGCTTGCCGCCTCTTCTCCCCCTCGCTTATTATCTTCTCCTCTTCTCTATCTAGGCGGGTAGTTCACCTGCCCCTCCGCCTAGGGTGAAGCCGCCTGTAAGTCTAAATACTGGAGTCCCTTCTTCAAGATATGACCCCTAAAACATGGGTGCTCCTTCGCTACCTATTAAACATTACCCGTGAAACTGTCGAGTCTAGTGATAATGTCGAGTTCTCTCAGAGATGGTCCGTTGAACTTCGTTTACTAAATATGACACATAAACTAAGGTACCTTTTGTAGCGTCTACGTGATGTGTACCCCTAAATTTGAATTTCATGCGCTTTTTACTGGATTCAGACCCCTAAATTTAATTGCCCTCGTGTCCTCTACTAGATGTGGTCCCAAAAACGTGGGTGCTCCAGCGTCGTCGACTAAATGTGTCCCAAAACTTGTGTACTCCCGCGTCTTCATTAGATATGTACCCCAAAATTTGTGTACTCTCGCATCGTCTACTAGATGTGTACCCCAAAACTTGTGTACTCTTTCGTCGTCTACTAGATGTTTTGCCCCAAACTTGTACGCCCTATCGCCGTCCGTTGACAAGGGCATAATTACTAGAGCCTTCGTTACGTTCATTATATATGATCCGTTGATCTCGGACGCATACCATCGTGATTTCCACTAAATTGTGCCGATAAAGTTTGATAACATTTTACCGTTTATTTAAACTGAACCGTGCAATTAGGTGCTCATATGTTAGATACTAACATGACCGTCCAATGTTAGTTGAAGTGGAATTTATTTGAACAACATTACTTCTTTGCACAGTTTGGCAAGATACCCGTTTCCGTAATCCCATATGGTCGATATTATATAAAGGATACGAGATCTTCTGATTTATCAAGAGTGTTCGTTTCGTTTCTTGGTCATCGCCACGTTGTTTTTTACAGAATTTAAACAAATTTATTTAATTATATAAATTAATCAATTTGAGTAATATATGAGTAATTAGAGTAATTTTTAAATCTTTTCTACCGCTAAGCCACCAAAAATTCTTCAAGACAAATTTTGTCGAACATTTGAAAAATGTCAACCTAAACACTTATCATTCATCTTTTACGGCAGAAATTTTACTTTGACTACGAATTTACCAATGGGAAAAACAGTAGATGAAATATTTTAGCTGTACTACTTCATCAACCGATACAAATTCGCCTCTTTTCGCTTGAAATCCTTCACAAACTCAAGAAATTTGTCTGCAAAGCCGAAATTTTCCAAAAAATGGCAGAGGTTTATCCGAATCTGCAGACATTTAGCACAAACCACCGAAGCTTTATAATGTAATTGATGTGTGACTCACTTCTTACCTTTATAAAAACCCGTTCCTCTTACATACGCCTCATCCCTATGCGTGAATCCCTTCCTCGTGTCCCCTTAGGGGGACTTCTGACGCGTGTCTGTGCTCGGCAGAAGTTCTATGAGATTTCGCGCTCCTAGGGGATTGTTCCTGAGCGCCCCACCGCTGAGCTCGCGGTGTCTGACTGCAGGTCTCAGTTGTGGGGTTAAGTTATTAGGTAGGTAGGATTCCTTGCATTTCCCTTCTCTGTCTCTCTCGTGTGGGCGGTGGACGTCCCGTGTAGGCGACCTCTTGTTCGAGTGTCTTCGTTTCTGTTGATTTTCACCTGTCCCTTCTTTTCACTTCGTCTCTTTGAGCTGCTAACGCTGCTTCTTTCGAGCCAGTTTCAGCGGGCTGAACAACTGAGGCCTTCCGCCCCATGTGGGTGATTATTAATTTGAGACTCTGAATAATTGAGACCTTCCGCCTTGCTGGCGATGTTAACTTTTAACCTTCGGTGCGAAAAAGCTTGAGAGCTGAAGCGCTAGCAAACCATTGTACTACTACTACTCCTTCCTCGTGTACTAACCCATCCCCATACGTGTCGCACACTAATGTATGAAATTCATCCCCATGTATAGCCCCATCCACATAAATAGCCCCATACTCATGTACAAACCCCATCCACATATACAACCCACAGCCTCGTTTAACCCTCATCCTCCTCCCGAAGGTGAAGCCCGCCAGTGAGGAGGAGGCCGCGGAGCAAGACGAGCGCATCCGCGGTTTCTTTGCCAAAGTCGCCGGCGAAGATTTAGAGATTGACTGGAGTGAACTCCAGAGTGTGCTCAACTACGCCATGAAGAGGGGTGAGAGGGCTGGAGATTGACTGGAGTGAACTCCAGAGTGTGATCATTTATGCCATGAAGAGTTATGAGGGGGTAAAACTGATACAGGCTATTGTAGACAGCAGATTTTGATAAAGATTTCCAATTAAGAACTGATGAAGCAAATCGTATGTTCAGAGCACGACATTGCTGCACTGCCAACAGAGCAGTTATAACTTCAAACTGATTTTGAACTTAACTGAACCTGATTTTGAACTTTTGATTCAACCTGATTTTGAACTGAACTGAAACCCTGACCCCGCAGAGTTCGAGTTCGAAGGCTTCAGCAAGGATATTTGCCGCTCCATGATCTCCATGATGGACGTCGACCGCTCCGGCAAGCTTGGCTTGCGCGAGTTCATCCGACTCTGGACTGACATCCGCACATGGAAGGTGAGTTCTTCCGACTCTCGACCGACATCCGCACCTGGAAGGTGAGTTCGTCAAACTCTGGACCGACATCCGCAACTGGGAGGTGAGTTCNGGGTGAGTCATGTGCAGAACATGATGGGTGAGTCATGTGCAGAACATGATGTGTGAGTCATGTGCAGAACATGATGGGTGAGTCATGTGCAGAACATAATGTGTGAGTTAAGTGAAAACATGAGTTGAACAATCGTATTGTTTTGAAACGCATCAAAGTAGGCTGCATGTGGGGTTGATTTTTATAGCTACGATCTAATCTTTGCCGCCTGAGTAGCTATAATTAATAAAACAAATTATTTTAACATTCGTGGCCCAAGTTACTGCTTCCCGCAATGTGGTTGTGTGACCCCGACATTTTTTCCGTTGGCGATAGTTTGCTTGTTGGCTGTCAAGATAGTAAAAGTTTACAAATAAGTCTTCCTTAAATAATTCTTAAATAAAATTCAAAACAGCGATGTAAACAAAGTCCAACTTGCCTTAAATATTGAATATATCTAGTTGGTTCCTGGTTATTTTGGTAACATATTTTGTTTAACATGAAATTTTAATACTGTATGTGGTCAATAAGTAAATTGACGCGTAGTGTAGCAGTCCCAGTGCACGCTGGACGTAGCAGTCCCAGGCTACGCTAGAGCTCTAGTGTAGCAGTCCCAGTGCACGCTGGACGTAGCAGTCCCAGGCTACGCTAGAGCTCTGTTTTTCTGTCGTTATCGTCATATTTAATTCCCTACAAATTATTCCTATTTACCCTGGCTCCCAAATTTGGCTTCACCTGATTGAAAATCTATTTTAGCAAGTTTTGTACCGGATGCGTTGATTTATTTTGTTCATTACAATTATTTGCATATTTAAACTTGTAAGACGATGTAAGGTCTTCGTCTCACGCATCACTGATCGGTTTTTTAAAGTTTTTTAACAAAATCAATGCCTTTATAAATAGGTAAATATTTCCCTATACTTTATGTTTGGAACGCAAAAAGTATATATTTTTATATACCTAAATATTATTTTCCGCAAGTGCGCGATGGCTATTTAATTTTTTAGTTTATTAACTATATATATTATATCTTTATATATTGCTGATATCTGATTTCGCTTGCAATCTATAATATAATGTTTTTTTTCATTGTGTAACCTATGTCCTGTTTTTATATTGTGCTTTTTTCCATGTTATGATAATGTTTAATTCAACTTTTTCCCAAATATATGTGATTGTTGCTTGAATGTTTATTATTCGATTTTTTAATGTTTTATTGACTTTTTTTCGTTTTGCTGATAGAGTTGTATGAATATTGTCAAGGTTTTTCATTGTTTTATTTTTTCAGCTTTTATATTTCCAGTATAATTTATAATAGTTTTTAAATAACATTCATTCTCACATGACGGAAACATATTAATTTGTATGTTCTCAGAAAAATTGTATTGCCTATGGCGTTTTCACGCATATAAACATGTCACGTATAAAATTAATAAGCTATACCTACAGCTATTAGAATTCATTACACAACTTCCATGATTTTAACACACCAAATTAAGAGTGGCGTTAAACTTAACCCTTCAGGGTTTTCTTTTTCCAGATGCTGCTACTCGGTTGACGATTTAAAATTTTCCGTTAACCGTCCAATAATAAAGTATTGGCAATATTTGAAAAGATTTCCAGGCCGGTGAGAGGAACTGGCAGCGTCTGGCATCTTAGCCCGGGCACTGATTGGTTGTTTTGAATTCTTGATGACGCTTCGTGATTGGTCAAAATGCAAATGATTTGCTGTTAAATTCCACGACAAAGCAAAGATAATCGATTCAGGGAATAAAATTATACCTCTACCACCCCGACAAAAACCTGTTTGGTGAAATTCTGTTGTTTAAGTGCAGTGGTAGTGGCTCCAAAACGGGCGGAGTTGTTCGTGGGTCCGAGCCTTCTGAAGCTTAGTTCATTTCCTGGTGTCGCTGGCAAGCGGCGCATGCGTAGCCGTCGAGGGCGATGCATCAGAATGGCTTTGATACTCACCCAAAACTAACTCGTTCGCGGTCGCGGGCATGCATTACTTTTGTGGTCACATTGATCGTAGATGCTCTTAAGATGGCGAGTCTGCCGTCATCTCAAGATGTCGCCAACCGTTTCGAGTTTCATCTATATAAGTTATTAATTAATGATGTTATCGGTGACTAACTCGTTGCAGGTGAGCCGATCTCGAGGGAGACTAACAGAGTTTCCGAGGAAGCCATTGAGGAGTTTGTATGTCATCTTATTCATGTTATTGACGGTAAACTGATCGTAGGTGAACCAGAGAAGTCCGTGCCGCCTTCCGAGGAAGCCATCGAGGAGTTTGTATGTCATTGTATTCATGTTATTGACGGTAAACTGATCGTAGGTGAACCAGGGGAGTCCGAGCCGCCTTCCGAGGAGGCCATCGAGGAGTTCTACAACTCCTTGTTGGAGGAGACCGCGGAACTGCAGCGGGATGCTCCTGCCGAGGAGGGGCCAGAGGAAGAGGAGGAGTGAAGAATGGTGTGATGGGGTATGGATGGAAGGTGAAGGGAAGGATGGTGTGATGGGGATGAATGGAAGGTGAAGGGGAAGGATGGTGTGATGGGGTATGGATGGAAGGTGAAGGGAAGGATGGTGTGATGGTGATGAATGGAAGGTGAAGGGAAGGATGGTGTGATGGGGTATGGATGGAAGGTGAAGGGAAGGATTGTGTGATGGGGTATGGATGGAAGGTGAAGGGAAGGATGGTGTGATGGGGTATGGATGGAAGGTGAAGGGAAGGATTGTGTGATGGGGTATGGATGGAAGGTGAAGGAAAGGATGCGAGGATATTAAGGAATAGGACGATCGGTGAAACTTCAATGCGAGAATGATTGAAGGTGGAGTGTGAGATGTGGTGATGGAGACTTAAAAAGGAGTTTACTGCTTACAAATTTTTTTAAAGGTATATTCATGAAACTTTTGATTAAAATACCAGTTTTATTACGTTCAGCGTTCACGTAAAACGTTAATAAATGAGCAATATACTAATTGAAAAGTCAATGGGACTCTTTCAAAATAGTGACACACTTTCATGCCTCAGCACGATCAGAGAGCGGACATTATACTGATACACTTTTCGGTCGGTCCAAACTGGGCCAGAACTACCCAGAAAATAACAAGAAGTATATCGCTATTAGGACAATATCTCACTTATTCCTACGAGTGTACACTATACATTTTCTTTCTCTAAGTTTATTCATTAAATTTTATCACTGTATTGCCATTGAAAACAATAGAAGAATATCTGAGCAATAAATTTAGAGGATATTCTGTGCAGCATAATTCTGATTTTAAATTAATAATTCTGCATAATAACAAGTAACTTTGTCCTCTCGTACATACATGCTGGGCTGCCACGCCAGAGCTGATGAAGCGTGTGCTACTTTGTTGATAGTAAAGGTGGGTTGAATTTTGTTGATAGGTGGGTTGAATTTTGTTGATAGGTGGGTTGAATATTGTTGATAGGTGGGTTGAATTTCAATTTTACAGGTGGGCTAAACTTTCTCAAAATTAATGATTGGTTGAACTTTTCTAACATTAAATATTGATTGAAATTTTTTATATTGAAGATTCGTTAAATTTTGCCTATAGTAAAGGTGGGTTGAAATTTTTCTATAATAAAGACAATTTGTTGAACTTTTTTGAAATCGAAGATGGGTTGAATTTTTCAACCCGAGAGAAGGTTGTGCTCCGCTCATGCACTCGTATATGGAGGAAGGCTTCCTGTTCTATATCAAACCCGCTGCATGCACACCGCTGGTATACCGCATATAATGCGTGTAAATGGTGTAGCGATCAAAATATATCATGTATTGCAGCGTCATATAATTCATTCAAATTAATGCAATATCCTGCACTGAACCTCCTGTTTGACTTTACTTTCTTGATAACGAAATTTGTTATAATCATTATATGAAAAAGGTATTTATAAATTCCCTTTCTACGTATCTTTTCTGACTTCAAAATTAATTTTTTCCAATTACAATACTAAAAATATAAAGAATACTAAAAAGTATTGAAGCAAGGGTATAAATGGTTGAAATGTTCAAAAATTAGTCATTTAACCATAAAAGTGGTTCTTGTGTTTTAACATTGGTAAGTTTTAATTGTATATGTTTATTGTATTGGAAAAAATTGTTTTCAACTTGATTTCTAGCGTCCAACTTACAATATTCACCATGTTGAGATTTTAGCACGCATTACTTTCATCGCTCCGAAATTTGGAAAATATCACTATTTTTTAACGTAAAACAATCAGAAAGTTTGCAAATCTTGTGCGAGCCATTTTTTATTAATTTTCAATCATTTATTCCTAATTTCCCGCGATTTAATCGTTAATTAACGTCGTAATAATCCACCACTACTCTAATTTAAAAGGAATGTTGAGGGAATGGTGTGTGGCATGACGGAGTGAACGAGGTATAGGGGCATGCGGGGGTGGGGCATGTGGTGGGGTATGGCTGAAATATGCTGCTTCTCCTCATTATAAATTCGAAAATAACTAAGCACATTCACTTTTCTACTCTTCCATTTCACTCAGCAATAGACGAAAGATCATTCCACCAAAACCTGTATGGGACAACATTGGTTCACCATTCGTGTACCATCATTTATCTTCTTATTATCTTTATTATCTAAGGTATTTCCCGTTCTTCTGTATAAATCTTTATTTTCTTGCAAGTAGTTATCGGAATTCAGTTGCACAGCTGGTAACTTGTATATATCGCAACTTGACAAGCGCTTATCGTCATCTCTTAACCATTCTTTTTTCCCCCAGCATTTGCTGAATGATATTATATAGTATTTGCACTTCACTGACCATCTATCTGTACAGGTTGAATGTTCTGCACTTCAGCACTAACTTCGTATGATAATAATAATAATAAAAATTATCAGAATAATTTTTTAATTACACATTCAAAATTCTCTATATTCATCAAACAAAATTTATAATATTCTGCACCATGAATTCTCGTCGAAATTATGTCGTATAAATTTCAAGTAAAATTCTCTTTGCAGCACCAAAAATTTTCACGGCAATTCACATCGGTACAATTAATATCTAAATTTATTTTTCAGCAGAAATATTTATGATGGTCCCACCGTTGAATATTCTGGGCAAGTCTCGTGGCATCAATTAAAATTATTCATCAATGATTATAGATAATTTTAATATATTTAAATACCAATAATTTTTCGAGCCACGGTATTAATCCATGGCAATCGAAGTTATTATTATAGTATTCATATATATCAAAGCACCAATATTAGAAATTATATATATATATGTTGGTATGATATTTCCCCACCCCCCCAACAGTCATCTCTGTTTTTATCTAAAAAATTTAACCTTAAAATGTGTCCACAATAAAAACTTTTTTTAAGCTAACTGCGAAAAAAATAATATTCAGTCAACCAAATTAATCTTTAATTTTAGAAATATAATTCAAATTCTCATATATAAGGATAGAAGGAATCGTCATTTCCTACCTCTCTTAGGAAGGAATCTTCATTTCTTGTCAACTTCAAAATATTTTCTTATTTCAGCACCTAAAATGCAAAACTCAGTCATTCTTTTTTTGTGTTCAAGGTGCACTAGTTATCCTTATCACAATTTCCATTTGTAGAAATGAGTCTTTTGTAAAATATTTTCGTGAGTTGATTGATTCACTCGAACTTCCACTGAAATCTTGTTCACTTTCCACGAGGTTTCCACTGATTGCATAATTTCTATTCTGCTGTATAATTCCTGAATAATTTCATCTGCTGTATAATATTTCACTGGAATTCACTAATCTTTTTTTCAGAAGCATGCCGCACTGCAGTTGGTTTGTTATAATTAATGACTTGATTAATTACGTTGTAACAATATCGTTTCGTAACGATTGTTATAATTAATGACATGAACAATCATGTTTATGATCATAACCACCAAGCTGATATGATGCATGTTTTTACAATACAACAAACTTCTATTTCTTCTAAAACACGACATCAATAACATATTAAAAAGATATGAATGACATACCTAGCACGATTTGCATAACACAATCTACATGCACCGTATGAATATCGAAACGTAGACAACGTATACAGACCATACTTCAGCATTAGCAATATACGTATGTATTACGCAACACAATTGAGCTTGATATTAATAATAATCATGTATACAGCGGAGCAAACACAACAACATGCACATCACAACAAACAAAATCTGTGTGTTCTGTTGCTTCAGTCACTCATTTAAATTGTGTTGCGGGTGCGAACCTTGTGCTCCTGCGCTGAAAAATGTATTACGAAGAAAAGCGTAAATGACTCACAAGTTTCGTTTTCAAAGGAAGCGTTTCATGATTGTTAATTATTTCGATTAACAACAACAGGAAAATGCTATTATTTATAAACTTAGTTCTGTTTCCGTTAAGTTTTACTACATATTTTTTCTTCGAGCTCGTTTTGGTATTTCTGTTAGTTTAGATCATTCCTCCTCTTTTCGTTTCAAGCCTTCCTCTTCTATTCGTTTGAAGCATTCCTCTATTCGTTTGAAGCATTCCTCTATTCGTTTGAAGCATGTTTGTTACTTACTACGCATATTCGTCTCCTTCGTTTATGTTGTTCTTATTCGTGTTAACAATTCATTTATGAAGCACGCATATCATATTCATTGTAAATTTATTATTCAGGGATATTTTTTCAATATTTAACCGTGATTTTTGAACGTTTCCTTTTCACATTCCTTCTAAACATTGAATTTATACCTATTTTCTTAAAAATTCCCCATATTGTTAAATGATCTGAGTTGAGGCGAAGGCATGACATCTGCATGAACATTATTTCTTATTGTAATATTCGTTCTAAGAACATTTTTATAGTTTATTGTATAACTCCATTGCATGGTTTCTTTTCATGTGTGTGTGCAATTAAGTATATTAAAATAACATGCTCTGGAGTGCTGATTTTGATGTGGGTTTTTTCTTACCAAACTTCATTTTTGTATGTAATGGAATGAGCTACGTATTTTTGGTGACGGCTTGGTCTTGCTGACTTTATTTCAAAGGGAAGATTAGGAATGTCATAGAGAGCTCCATATTAACTTATTTTCTATTTTTCCGATACTAAAACCAAATGTTTTTTGTCAAGTAGAGCAACGTACTGTATATTTATGGTGAAATTATTATTTTAATATAATATTTTATTGATATATAGTGAAATTATTGATGGCAAAGGTTTTACAAAAGTTTAACTTATAGAATTTTTTTCATTAAAAAAAGTTCAATAATGTTATTGTGGAACTGTTGTTTTAGCTAATATTGGAGGATTAAGGCCTAATAGCTTTTTTATTCATTACAAAAAAGATAACATCAGTACAGCGCAGTAAACTGCCTCCTCCACTTGAAATATTATTTATATTAATAACACTTAGTACCATTTATTTATTTTACTATATTATAGTAATTATAACTGACATTTATTTTACTATATATAAATAATAATAACTAACATTTTTTTATTTACCTATATTTTAAAAATAAGTAACATTTATTTATTTAACTATATTTTAATAATAATAATTACCCATATTTTATTACTTATATTTGATTTTTTTATATTTTAATAATGACCTATATTTTATTTATAATAAGTAACATTTATTTATTTAACTATATTTTGATAATAATAATTAACATTTATTAATTTTCTTTTATTTTAATATTAATAACTAACATTTATTCATTTAACTATATTTTAATAATAATAGTTACCCTTATTTTATCACCTATATTTGATTTTATTTATATTTTAATAATCACCTATATTTTATTTATAATAACTAACATTTATTTATTTAACTATATTTTGATAATGATAATTAACATTTATTTATTTACCTACATTTTAATATTAATAACAAACATTAATTTATATATCTTACTAATAATATTTACCATATCTCGTTCACTACAGAAACGTTCGAGGAGCGCTGTGCACCAGGGGAGTCCAAAGCGACGTTCACGCTGGACGAGTTCATTGAGAAGACCATGTACACTTGAGTTTATTTCATATCTTTAAAACTTAGTAAACTTAAAGTTGTAACTTGCCTTGTAACTTGAATCAAAGACGTGATACTTGTAAAGGTTCACCTCCGGTCACTTAATAAAAGTTTATGTAATAGTGAATAAGTAAAGATGGTTAAGCGAAGTAAGTGTTGTTAACGAATTAAATACGAATTTAAGAAAAACCCTATCAATCACAAATTTAATATGAAAAATGCCTCTAATATTCTAAAAGAGCCTTTAAATTCTTCCAAAAAATGCCTTTTAAAATCTCTAAAATTAATTCCTTTAAAATCTTCGAATATAATGTCTTCAAAATCTTTAAAATCAATATTATCATCTTCATTACAACTATTATTATTGCAATATTTACTATTGTTATTATTATTTCAAAAATATTTCGTAAAAATTGAATTTTTTCTCATACGCGCATCACTTTCTGAAGTAAATACACTTAATAGTCTACAAGTAACCGGTTGTAAACGGTTAGGTCTGCACAAAACGGATTATTGAATGCATAGGCCTTCTGATACGAAAAATATATGAAGTGCATTCAAACGGTAACTAAAATAATAACGGTGGGCTAATGTCAATAAATAACATTCTTTACGAATATTTTTAGTGATTGTGAACATTTCTGCTATTATTTTATCGACAATTGCCAAATTTAAATGTTTTAGCTTAAATATATTTTCGGTTTGGCTTTGATTTCATATTTGGGGTAAAAACAATTTCGTTTTGCTTCGGATTCAAGGGGCTTTGGGGTAAAAAAATTATTCTCGGCTTTTGATTCACGAGGCTTTGGGGTAAAAACAATCTCGTTGGGCTTCGGATTCATTGGCTTTGGGGTAAAACAATTTGCTTCGCTTCTGATTCATGAAGTTTTGGGGTAAAAACGATTTCGTTTAGGTTTGGATTCATGCGGATTTGGGGTAAAAAAATTTCGTTTACATTTTCAAGTCACGGTGACGTCCACGAATGGCACCCTCTTCTCGCCCTAACCAGATAAATCAAAAACATTTACTTCTAGATGTTCTACTTGTCAGATCATTGACCGTGTTATCCTAGACGTTCATCGCCTTAAGTTTGTTATAATAATTATGTAATATTAGATTACATGAACTGATTCGCTTCCTTTCCATCGTGTCAAATGTTCGATTGTATCAGGTTGGGCTTTGTTTTTTGTCCACCTGACTGGGAAAATAAGTTTTTTTAAGTTGAATTATTTAGCTATTTCTTCATACAAGTAATGGGTAATGGTTAGAATAACGGTGCTAGTTAACTTCTGATCCGAATAATGATTGATGGTAGAATAATAATAGTTGTCTCGATTTACTTCTAATGGGAATGATGGTTAATGGTTAAAAAAAAGTATCGATTTTCCTAGGTTCAGTTACTCTCACTATAACTATAAATTGATATATTATATAACACTAAACATAACTATAATATGGGCTTAGTATTTTTAATTTCATTTTTTTAGAAATTGCCGTATATATTCAACATACATTGATATACATCTAGCTATGTTGAATCCACAGCAAGGTTAGGGAAAAACATGTGTTCGATGAGCATTAGTTCAACGTTTAAAACAAATATAGCATATATTACCATTAAGTAAAGTAAGGTTTTATAGCATGCACTCTTGCCTTTAGATTAGCCTGCCACACTCTCGTTCAAGTGATAAGTCTGAGGCCTGAATATGTATTTGAGATAGAGTGTTTAAATTGAATTGACTCTCATTAAATGTTAGAGAGTGTCTCTCTTCGAAGAGAGTGTCTCCCTTTGAAGAGAGTGTCTCTCTTTGAAGAGAATGTCTCGCTTTGAAGAGAATGTCTCGCTTTGAAGAGAATGTCTCTGTTTGAAGAGAGTGTCTCTTTTTGAAGAGAATGTCTCTTTTTGAAGAGAGAGTCTCTCTTTGAAGAGAGTGTCTCTGTTTGAAGAGAGTGTCTTGCCTGAAGAAAGTGTCTCTCTTTGAAGAGAGTGTCTATCTTTGAAGAGAGTGTCTCGCTTTGAAGAGAGTGTCTCGCTATGAATATTAATTAGTATATATTTCTACCAGATCTGTGGTGTCTGGTTATTGGACTCAAAATAAATAGAGATGGTAATTGATAGGGAAATTAGTTTAATAAATTGGTGTCGATTTCAGGGGAAATTCATCTAAATGCATCCGATGAAAAGGGTTTGTAATTTCATGTAGAACTCGCCTAATTATTGGGTTAATTAAATAGATATCTTATTAATGTATTGATAATACCTAATTAATTTGAAAGATATTTGCCGACGAATGAATGATGTCCTCCAATGTCTGATAGGAATAGCATTAAACGTAATAATTTTATTTAAAAAAATTAAATTTACAAACATTTCATTATTCATTCATTAAACATTACAAATTTAAAACTTCAATTGAATAAAGATATTAATAAATAGGGTAACATTGGGTAATAAAAATGAATGTGCTGATTTTGACATCAAAATTGAGCTAGTATCGAATTTATATCATGGTAATCAAATGTCAGTCTGATATCTATTGAATGCAGTAAAACAAATCTATGCGTAATGCATGGTAATTATACACATGAATTTTAATTAATGTTATTCTTATTTTGGTTAAAGTTTATCGTTATCAAATAACGATTTTTAATTAACTCTTCTAATAAAACATCCGATAGTCTGTAATATCGAACCTTCTACGCACATTTTTTATAATAAAATCTTTTGTATTTACGTTAAGAACAGACTTATGAATTTTAAATGAAATGCATTTTTTAAAATTGTTAATGCTTAATCCAAATTTTACGATTTCATCTGTTTGTACTCATGTACACGTGCAGCTATTTCGTGTGTACGTTCTTGATGTGATTTGTGTGATGTAATATTTACCTCTAAATTGGTAGGTTTAAATTTGTGTTGTGTTTTACCTCTGTTGTCACTAATAAAAGTTTTGAAAATTGTAAAAGTTTTACATTTTCCTTTTAGAGAGAGCGCGTCGTTTGGCTATACAAGAAAATTATATAATATTCCATTCGAAAGTCAAAATTACTATTAATTTGAATAAGCAATTTTTAATAACCGCCAATTAATAATGCCGTCATAATATAATAATATTCACTATTGGATATCAACACTAGTTATTTACTATTGGATGTTTATCAACACGGAACAAATGCTAAGAATATCATCAATTACTATATATTTATTCATCACTACCACCAGGGCCGGATTATCAAAACTTCGTAACTTTTTGTACGTACGACAAAAAAGTTCTGTGGTACGTAAATACACCCTAATTTTGGCATTATCAAAACTTTCGTACGCAAGTCTTAGCTAAAAGCCTAAATTTTTTTCCCGCGCAAATTTTTCCCGCGCAAATGTTCTTATAATACCACCGCTAGTTTTACGTTGTCATAGCAACGCCACTCGTAAGTCGATTTTGCGTACTTACGAAGTTTTGATAATACGGCCCAAGGCTTACAACACACAATAGCCCCTGTATTTGACGGCGCTATATTACAACACACAGTAGCCCCTGTATGTTAAGGTACCAGACTTACAACATATAATAGCCCCTGTATATTACTGCGCTATATTACAACATTACAACATTAACTTAATGTCGCTATCTCCCCCCGAATTTAATATTTTTAGACGCGTCGGAATTTATAATGATTATATATTAAAAGCAACAGACGAAAATCTGACAGTTTCTAAAAAATAAATATTTTTGTTTGAGCCCTCATTCCCTGCCTCACCCAATATAAATTATAATTAACCCATCAATGTGGGTTAATTATATCAAAAAGGGTCAATTATATCACCATCAAAGGCAAGATGGTCATGGGTGGCCCGCTCGTAATTTTTCGCCTGCATTATTTGCCTAATATCTGTGTCTAATATTTTCCGCCTAATATTTGAGTGTTGATATTTGTAGCCAATTTATTTTGCTCTAATATTTGGCACCTAATATTTGTATGCTAATATTTGTCGCCTAATAATTGTGCACTAATGTCTGTCGCCTAATAATTGTGCGGTAATATTTGTGTACTAATATTTGAGCACTATATCTGTCGCTTAATATAAGTGCACTTATGTCGGGCGCCTAGTACTTTTGTATAAATTTTTCTCGCCTAAAAGTTTTGTTGTAATATTTTACGCCTAGGCATTTGTGCGCTAGCGACTTGATTCGCCGCTGTCCACTCCACCCCATTCTGCATAGATTTTTACGATAATGAAGGCTCTTCCCAAGGCTTCACTTAAGCCAGGCTCTTCGCTTCACCTTCAAGAATTAGTATTAATGGAGAGGCGTTGTACATGCCATACACACAAAAAATAAATTGATTAAATTGTCCAGACAGTGACATACTTTCTTACCCACAGTGCGAGGAGAAATCGGACGTAGCGATGATCCGTTACTTTTTTCAGGACAATCTGGGCCAGAATGACAGGCACAGAAGCAAAAAGTATATCGTTATTTGTACAAAAACTCTTCCATTACAATGAGTGCATACCAATATAGTTCCATCAGTCGTGTGCCATGTCAGGGTATGTTATTAGGTAATGAAGAATCATGGAAGGGTAAGTTGAAGCTATCATTTTCTGGGGAATAATTGTCTTGCCACTTATCTTGATGGAAGATGGCAATTCGGGGCCATGCCAACGAGTAAAAAATACTTGAACGTGCAGCCAGGTCAATGTTAAGACTGAGAAAAGATTTCGTCTGAGATTTAGATTAATCATGATAGTATAAGTTTCAAATCAATAATAAAGTTTAATTCTTTCAAGTAGAAATACTTCACTAAATACTCCGGCTGTCGAAGCAGAAACTTATATTAAATAGTATTGTTGAATAAATATCACTGATAAACTAACTGTTACTAATATATAAAGTGTTGAATATTGATATATTCCTGCTGAAGGATTCTTGAGCTAAAATAAAATCAGTTCAGCAAATCCGCTCCTACCTTGATTAGTGAATTCGCTCGGGGTAACTCAATAATTAATATTAGTGGAATAAATATGCTTTTACATAAAACTTTTTGTACACGCCTTTTGTATATGACGAGAGAGTAAATTTTATCAAAAATTATGATTTTTTTTAATTCGACGAAATAGACGTTTAATGCATTCAAACTTTGTGTTTTTTAATGCATTTGAATCATTCATAATCCCTGCCTCCGAAAGATATTTTAGGGTTAGAAAATTCTTAACTCATTAGCTCCCAATTTTCTTGCAATGACAAGAAAATGAATACTAATGCTTTCTAAACTAATATGAAATGGTTACTGCTAATACAATGCTAATGAATACTAAAATAAAAATGAAATGGCAAGTATGAATATCACACTGTATTCATACCATACTGCTGGAAAT